CAGGAGACCTACGAGCCGACAGGAGACCTACGAGCCGACAGGAGACCTACGAGCCGACAGGAGACCTACGAGCCGACAGGAGACCTACGAGCCGACAGGAGACCTACGAACCGACAGGAGACCTACGAACCGACAGGAGACCTACGAGCTGACAGAGACCAACTAGCCAACAGAAGACCTATGAGCCAACAGGAGACCAACTAGCCGCCAGAAGACCAACTAGCCGACAAAGACGAGCCGACAAAGACGAGCCAACAAGGAGAAGACCAACTTGTGGTTCTCCTCCACAGGTTGGACCAACAACAGGTGGCTCTGGTCCAGGTTTCAGAGTTTAGATGGATACYGGTGAGTATTTGGCTCCAAAGTGAAACCAGATTTTGACAGAATTCACCTTTAATGACCCAGCTGAAGGTTTGCTCTGCAGGTTGGTGACCCGATCTCCTGGCAGGAGACGAGRAAGGACGTCCCTGCAGTCTGCAGAGACACAGATCCTGGTGTCCACCTGAAACAGTCCTGTTCTGGGTGTTTGTGGGGAAGTCCAGCCTTCAGGATTTCCTGCACGGCAGAAAACACAGCTGGATCCTGGTTTCTGCACCGGACCTGGTCCAAAAAACACCTACCATCCAAACCTGAGCTGGTCCTGATCCAGAATCAGTTCAGCTTTTATCACCAAACAGTCAGACTTTCTTGTTCTTCAGGGTTTTTGAAGGTTTGTTTTTTCTCTCAGTTTCAGTTCAGATGAAGGTTTTTGTTTGTTTAAGCTTTCTTTTTACCTTCGACCCCCGAAAAACTCCTGAACTCGAGAGAAGAACCACAGAACCAAAACCAGAGGACGTACATCTTCTGTCAACGTAAAGAAACTAAGCTAAAAGCAGAACACTAGCTAACAGCTAAAAGGAGCTAAACACTACTTAGAATAAAAAAAAAAACACTGGCTAAAAGCAGCAAATATTTATCTATAATCAGGGTCGCACATAAAATTTTTGGTCTAGTTCTCAGGGGAGAACCTAGGGTTGTTGCTTGGTGCTCATATTTTCCTAACCTCATTTAACTCATTTATGTAGACGGGTGTCAGAGCATTTATTATTATTATGTTCTGTTTTATGATGCCTTCTATCAGCTGCAAAGTCTCAGGACATCACGCCAAATCAGAGTTTTTTATTTTGTTTTTTTACGCTGCATACATTTTGTAAACTACCTAAGCGGCCAATGGGCTGACCCATGGAAATATATCATCTCAAACTGAACATTTCATGTTTAACATTTCATGGGTGACATTAAACAGACTCATCTTTGCTTTGATACGGAGCAAACAAATCTTCTGTTAGAGGTAATATGGTTTAGAAGAACTCGAACAGTAGCTGCATTTCCATTGACCGTGAAAATGCGCAAAGTAGAATTTCGAAAATAAATTTGCTCAATGGAAACACGTCAATTTAAAAAAATTACATTTTTCGACAAAATGTTTTTGCGCTAGGATGAGGTGGTTTTTCATCCGCATCGAAATTGGTGTTTTTCGCAAAACTGCAATGGAAACACTTTTCACATCACAGGAGTCACGTGATCAACAACCGGCTGTTTCTACTGGTGAAAAAGACGATGATGAAGAAGATAACAGGAAGTAGGAGTAGTAGTAATATCACAGAAGTAGTATAAAATAG